CCGATCGCAATAGCATTTGTGTTGTTTGCTTCACCGTCCACCTCGCTTCTCTTTAGATTCCCCATCCAATTATCATCTCGTGCTTTTAGAAACAACATAATATTTAACTTTAATTTATTTGCTTTGTGTATCAGTTTGGTCTGTGATTTTTAGGAACTGATCTTGTCTTATTGGGGCACATCGTCTGAGGTGTGCCTCTCGTCTTCAGTTAACGCGCATTAATGCGAATACTTCGCCACACGTCTAACTGACAGATTCAGCAGAAAAAAATCATTTGCAGAAATGCACCTTCTTTTAAAACCTTTAGTGGAATGGTTCAAGCTTTTATACCAAATTACTGATGAAATATGAGCTACATACAAAATGCAAAGTGCTTATAAGTGAGACCTAGTAATCCACCGCGAAGCCAGAAATGGCAGACGTGAACGGATAGCGTGACTCTCCGTGGAAGCAACTGAAAATTTTACATGTTTACTGGAAGGTTATGCAACATTGTTAGGGTACTGTTTTAGCGCCTGATTATTGCACATCGTTTTTAATAGCAGTATAACATCAGTTGACAAATGAATGCAGTGGAAGATACACGCATAACTGACTAGTAACTACTGAATTGCAAGCAATGTTATTAGTTATCCAGCAGTTGTAATCTAACTCCTGAGGGTAAAAATAGACATCTAAGCAAGTCAGGATAATCGAGTGGTCACTAACTTCCAGCACTTCAAATAGCTAGACAACACCCAAATAAATAGTAATCATCTATCCATGCAGATCGGAAATACGTGCGGTTTTTTGGGTGTTTGCTGGCAGTAACGCTGTTCCCTGATGATCGTAAGTTGCATTTACCAAAACACTTATTGACTTTGCAAATCAAGGAGCAAATACGTATTTAACAATATTATACAAATTCAGTAGAGCGCACTTATTAACTGCCTCTGATGGGAAACCGTGTATTGAACAAGCGGTAACCAGCGCAAATAGCCAACTTACTTAATGCTGTCTGCTGCACGAACCCGAATGCAACTACTGAGTTGGCGTATCCTGTATCCGGGCTGTTCACAAGCTCTACCGCTCTATGAATTTTGTCAACACTATTACCAAAACCTAAGATCGATTATAAATCACCGAGCCACCTAGGTCATTGGTTCTTCCTTCACAATGGATGCATGCGAAGGGACACATTGTCCAGCCAAGATAACTATTTTCTAATTAACACGTGCGACCACTTTCACTTGATCGTTTTCGTGAAAAGTCCAAGGAGTTAGACCAGAAAAAATATTTTTCTTATAACACACTGATAAAAATTTAAAACCATTGTTTCTTTGGCGAGCTTGTCTGCAGTTTTTGTCAACATTGGTCATAAGACATCTCCCAACTGCTCCCTGAAGGCATAGTCCTTAAATGGAATGTGAGATTTAGGCATCGTGATCGCGACAAAAACGGAAGCATACAATTACAGAAATTCCACCAAGTCATTCAACTAGGGTTCTACAAGTTACCGAAACTGCGTATTCTGAGTTGTTCTACCAAACGCTATAGATGGCAAATAGGTGAGAATTCATAATGAACCATATATAGACGGCTTAAATCACCCGTGCCAGTTTCCGCTGTAGCTAAAACATAAGAGCAGACTGACAGGCCACATTTACCACTGGCAGAATTTTACACTAACGTTAGTAAAGACGGAATACCAGTTCGTCGTGAATTTGCCTCCGATTGAATTCACTACCGGCATCTCTACTTTCAGCGCTTAGCCTATCCGTCTTTCAAGATACTTGGCCACAATTGCCAAAACAACATAACCAACCTAAGCCACACGAGCATTAAAAATAAAACCCTATCAATATACAATAGTTTTCCTGGGAAGCAAAAAGCAGTGGCATTAATTTGCATTAAATTATTTGTGAGTAATTCAAAGTGAAAAAATAAAGTTGAGCAAATAAAAAGCATTTACTTCTCACTGCTCATAACTTTTAATTTTGGTCTTAAAAATACCTTACCCAACATCGTGCAAGTCAGATTGAGCCTTCGTTTATTTTTCCGAAATTAATCTTCGAGTACTAAGCATTATATTCCTTTAAACTTAGGTAGGTAACAATAAAACAGCAGGCTTGCTTCATGAAACCATTGCACCGTTATTAGCACAAAAATAGATAATATGAAAATTTTCTTAGTGTTGTTGTTACTTAAGATAGTTTGTGAAAAACCTAGACTGTAAGCATTTTGAGGTTTCGATCCCCACGGCTTAATTAAATTATTATAAAAACCCTTAAATTTACAAGGAAAATAGTTTTCCAGACACGGAACCATATATAACCACAGAGGCGGGTACGCTGACAGACGGAACCTGATTTCGCACTGGTGGCGCAGTTTTAGAGGAATGTAACATTTTTGATGTAGTATGTCGCATACACTTATTAGTCTGTGTATTTCGTCAAGTCTGTAAAAGCACCAGACTGACGTTCTAACCTTCATGGTCTCGTCGTTGTTGTGCCTTACTGGGAACGCGGCAAGGACCAGACCGCATGCCTTTCGGATGCCAGGAGCATGTAGCATTATTCCAAAGGTTAGATACTCCGATTTGTTTGACCGGCACCTTAAAAATTAACTAATTTAGTCACTCCATACTTCTAACAATTGGATTCCAAACTCATCCGCTAACAGAATTTATTTAACTGCTTTAGATCAGCAACGTATATTGGAAAGAATTGAATCATCTTCAGAATTTACCCTGACCCAGAGTTCTCTCTTCGTGTTGAGACGTTATACTTATCCCGGTTCCTCTTCCTGCTGGTACTCTGATTCCCTGATTAATTGCGTCTTCTAAATTTATGCAAAATCTGCCATGATATCAAACAAAAAGTACAGCTTTATATTTATGTTTGATTTTTAAATCATTATTTAAATCATTATTTTAAATCATCTTTTGCCCTTTAGGGCAAACGTTTTTATAGGGTCTTGTTAACATTACATCATTTCGCACTCATTTTTGTGACAACATTATGTTATAGATTAAGCGATGTGTAAAAATACGTCCACTTTATTGGTTGAAATTATAAAAGATAAAATTGTTTCCGTAATTTAAGCATGCTTTATGCTGTCAGTCCTCAAATGACTGATCAGTGGTTTGCAGGAGCAGCTTTCAAAAGGTTAGAAGAATGTAGCCACAATTTTGTGTGATTCATTTAGTATATATGTCATCCCATAATTTGACATAAATAGTGCAAATATATTTCAATAAAAGTTGGTATTTCTGGAGTATTGGAAACTGTTAAATTTAGATATTTAAGTAGTGTGGGTACAATAAAGTTAGGAAAATGTGAATCTGTTATGTTGCGCAAACTGTTGTTCACAAAAATTTTGCAAACGCAGTCAACAAGTTTGAACCTAAGACGGTGTAGATATATATATAATTATATAATATCAATGGTTATAAAATTTGTATGTTTGGGTCAATTGGCATTCGAATTGAAGTCCTCTCACAGCAAATACTTGACTCATTGGATGACGAATAGCACGTTCTCAAAATTGATGTTCACATTAGCGAAAAAGGATCGTGCACAAAATCAGCAAGCATGTTCTGGATGCCCTTCTATCGGGTACTGCGTATGTGAAAGAGAACAGTGTAAATATCAAGGCAACATATCCTGACATTGTAAAAGATAATGCAAAAATCCAGTACACATATATTTAAAGCAATTTTTCATAATGTATTTGCATTTTTACGGCTGCGCTTATATTCTCAAAAACGGTTTATATATATTTCAAGAAATAAACCGATTATTCGTTCCTTTAGATAAACTCGAAACACTGGGCGTTCAGACAAAATAAATCTTAAATTTTCAATGTTGACTGTCGTCAAATCAGCCCAAGTATATTGAAAAAAATTGGAAAAATAAAAGAGATGCAGAAGCCAAGGTAAAAGCAAACAAATGGACGGGTAATATTAGGATGTGCGGAAAGGAAGTGAAGCGCTTGTGTACTTCTACCATTGCTCAAATATTGTCTAGGTCCAATAACTCGGCTAAACTATTCTGCCTCCGCAACAAAGATCAGACACAAAAACAATCAATAGAGACTCGCACCAGTCTTCTAATTACCTGTCAAAAATTATTAAATTAAACAAACCAACAATAGAACGCAATTCGGCACGGGCGCAAAAGAACTGTAACTATATGCATGGAACTTGTAATGTTGCTTTGGAACTTTTATGATAAAATGTATTCGCAAAGTATTTGAAGAGATCATTTGCATTTTTAACTAATAAGTCGCTTGAATTAATAAAACTATCGTGCCCCACCTCTGGTGTAAACCTGGTTCATAAATCAAAAGCCAATCTTACTAATAATTATACGATCAGTTGCTTTTGAAGCCATAATTTAAATAGTTCTGTAGTTATCGAGACGCGGATTTGATGTGGATACGAAAAGAGTGCATGTACCGCGGGAGCACTATGGAATCTTATGTCTTTAAATTGATGTAAGGAATAAAGTATAATTTAATAGCTAGGAAGTCAGTAGAAACTAATTTCACTCACGCTATAACGGAAAAGCAAACTAAGCAAATTTTGTTAGCAGTATTTCGTTACACCCTCTGTGTTGTATTGCAGTTATTTTCCAGCCAACATTGCGACTTTTGAGTTTAAACTGCATGCTATGTAAAAATTTTGAAATAAATTCTTGCTGTTATTGAAATTAGCTCGCCCGCATTACTACAGCCTACGACATATCAGCTACACTCCTCAGCGCTGCCACAATCAGAACCGCGCATGCAGGTTGCTCCCACATATTTAGTTATATCGACCAGAAATACCACGGACAGCACTTATCATAAATGTTGATGTATCTGATTAGTTACGTAGGAAGTTTAGCGAGTTAGGCAGCACTCGCTTCATAAGGGTGTCAGACCCCCAATAGAAATAAAATAGCTTTTTATTGTGGTCTGTCCAAAATAATGGTTAGCAAACTTGCGCACAAATAAATATTAGGGAACAAAATTGTTTTCTACAAAACAGTTACCTCTCGCTTACCACCATTTCCTTCGCTGCTTTCATTAGTGTTTTTCTCCCTGTCAACACCATTCATGGTTGTGGCTTGTGGTACTACAATGAGATAACAAAAGCGGTGTACACAATTATTACTCGATTTAGCTGGATCAGTTGTTCGTTAAAAGCGGACAAATGAATTTACCTGCTTTGTCGCAGCAGCACGCCAGTAGGGATAATCTAAGCATAAATCAGGAAATCACTACCAAACATTGTGCTCTACTCGATCTAATCAGTGGTGTGTATTTATTCAACTGCAACGAACCAATCTATTGGCTGCCAGCAGATTGTGCCAACTAGCCGGTAATTCATGCGATCCTCCAAAAGCGAATGTGGCAAACGGTCACAGATTGAAATCTATCTATTATATAATGCTATAAATATCCACTGCAATACAAAGTACCAATATTGCAAAGGTAGCATTTTGCATCCATAGGTAAGGAATGTCCAAAAACAGCAGACTTATAGAAAATAAAACTTGAATATTGGGAGGGCGGAAATACTATTACTGCTTTTCACTGGTTCATACCACTAGCTTATTAGCTCGAAAATGTAACCACTTCTCGGGAATCCGCATGACATTTTTCAATTAGCTTCACTTTGTGAGAGTATAACACCATCCAACCTTTCTCAGTTGTATAAGCTGCTGGTTAATTGGCGCACGTTGCTAGCTGCCACGCGTTAGGTTCATTAAAGGACGAAACTATCGTCTGGAGATATTCTGGAGTAGTTCTGCAAACTACGCCAATCCTGCTCATCATTAATTAAATGAAAAGACTGTGTTCATTATATATTTGTAAAATGCATATTAAACAAGACAATGTATATTCTAGCATTGCGGAACAGTTGTATATAGCCGGGCATGAATTGTTTACTATCATTTGATCTCACATACTGTAAGACCGTATCGAATTAAGCTTGAATGTCACTTTAAGTAAATTACTCAGACCCCACGCTCCATTCATGCACTAATTAGAGCTAGCACAAAAATTGGTACCTAAATATTTCTGCCTTCTTTCTCTATTTTTCTTGGATAAAACCGAATGATCAGAATACATATTTGCATATTCATCGCAGGAGCCGACACATGCAACGAAACCGATGTAATGGTTCTCAAACGCATTATACATTTTTGTTGAAATATGCTGATGCCCTTCTAATCGAACTAATAAACCTATGTTGGTTAGAGCATGAAAGGCTGCTGGTTCGTGTGTCGATTCTTCTCTATATAAATTTATGTTTACAGATATGGTGCTTTTACGGTCAAGCTGTCTGCACTGTCTAAACCGAAAGTTTTGTTATCGGATGCGTATTGTTTTCCGCTTCTCTCAGAACAAATTTTATTCCGACTGGGTTCCGTCAGTTTCATAGATGACACCCTGGGTTAACTAGATGTGGATGATGGCGCGAAGCATTGTGTATTGGCCAGACATTGACTTATATATAGAACACTTGCGCACTTTGCTTAGAAGGTGCAACACCAACACATTCCACAGAAGAGGGGATTATACTTCCTGGCTACTAGCAAGAAGAACATGCAAATGCAATGGTGCAAATATTTTTGTCCAGTAAATAGTGAGCATTATTTCTCATCGTTGAATCCTTCTGCAAATAGCCTGAGGTTGTTTATATGGATCGAGCTACAAATATTGCTACATTAACGTACTAAGGCGGCTGTTCAGGCAGCATGGAGCATCCGAAAATTTGGTTACGTAAAACAGGTCATTTCAACTCCTTCGACTTCAACGATTGCTGTGCAGAAAGTGGCAAAACACATTTGCATTCCCTTCACAGTTCCCTCTCTAGCGAAGTAGACAAGCAGAGCGATTAGTTTACACCTTGATGCGGCCATTTATTCAGGTATGCAATAGGTATTACCCAGCAGAAACATCTATAAGTACTATCCCAGATACCCTGTATAAATTCTCGTTGACCCACAGCAAAACGCAATTCTCAAACGTAGAAATAAACCGCACGCGGAAGCATTGCTAGGCATTATGCTCCGGAAGAAAAAAACTTGTTTCAAAAACACAAGTTTCACAAGTGCTAAGGACGCATATGGATGATATTGCCTCTTGCGCCATGGAAGAGAACCATATTTTACCGCCCGGATGAATGCCTTGGTCAGAGTATATCAATAAGGAATACCACAATGGACGACAGGATTAATCTAAAGAGGACGCGGCACGGTATTGCATGGAGTCGCAGTAACTAACCGCATCTAAATCAGGCACGCAAATCTGCTCAGGCCGAATGCCACCGGTGTCGATACCAACCAACAAAGTTTGAACACGATGGCTCAGTCCAGCATATGTCTCTAAAGGTAACAGCCCGAAACTTCGTCGACGGTCAGTACGTCGGCATTGATTTGTAAGGATAAATAGCTATACCCAAGTGGAAATTCACGATTGATTTGTGAGGGAAGTTCTGCTTTGGGCTGTCTTTTAGGTTTACGTTGATGATAAGAATCACATTAGACGTTTCACTATTTTACCATACAATATGAAACTACTGTATGATTTATTGGCTCAAATATACCTAACATCCTTGCTTCTTTATATAATGGACATTATTCCACAAAAGAAATATGTTAATCTGTTCAGCTAACCTACGCCTTCTCTTTGCAGCCGGCGATTTGTGCACGATCTATGAGTTCAAACAGCAAACCTGCGGTGTGCTAGAGATACCAAGTGTTCCCCAATCACGAAGAAGGAATTGTCTTACGAAGCGTCTTGAAATTCTAAAAGTCGGATCATAATAGCGGTGTCGTCAATTTCCTATGGCCAGTCTGCGTAACAACTATGGAAAATCGATAGTTATGCATTTAGGGATGATTATTCCTACCCTAAATTTTGCTTGAATATTCTGTGATGAGGAAAGTACATGTTTACAAGAAAAATGAAAAGCGTTTATGCAAACCACAGACGAAACATTTGAATACCCCACATGTTGTTTTAGTAAGGCAGTTCGTCGCAGTCTCATCTCAGGCAGCAAGTTAGACACGCGTGGAAAGCGATCTGCCAGTTAGTTCGACCTTCTGATTCTCGTATTTTGTCCGTGTTGGGATCGGACAGGTTAAATGCCGGATGATAGCCCCTAGGGTTATTAGGCAAGGAAAACGGCCGCGGACCTAAACCACTGATAGTTAGGTACGATACAACCCAGCTCATTATTATCTGCTAATGCAGTGACGAAGTGTTCAGAAGAAGGTAGCTGATCCCGGCTGAACATTTGTATACTACTTTATATTTAAATTATAAATGGACGCATTTGTTTTTAATTAACGAGTATTGTGCTTGTAGGTTTAATACCAAGCAGAGTCCGTGACAGTTCCCGCGCATAGGGCTTTATTTAGCGCTTACGGGAATGCACCTGAGAGAAGTAGCTAATTTAGCTCGCATTACTACTAACAATTTCGGGACAAGAAAACAGATGTTTACATGTATTGGCTGAATATGTGCTGCGACGGACTTCCTTTGAAATTATACGCACACTCACAATGTTGAAAAGTAACTAAAGCCTGATCTTAAAGCTACGGGGATGCTATGTCTTACAGTGCATATGAGAACTATTTAACATTGGGTCATACGTCCTCCTATGCACTGTTCCTAAATTCACTTCATTGGAGTATGAGCCAGGGTAAGTTGATAACAAACTATCAGCCTTACCAGTCTGCGTCTATCCCGCACGACTTATTGGCATATGATACGTTGAATTAGGTTCATGATTTTGGAACATGGGAATGGGTAGTGGAAGGCGCAAAACTGTTGAAAACTAGAAGCTCCAATCATCTGTCTGGTACATTATCAGACTTTAGTTGAAGCCTGCTAGCTGAGAGGAAACTGTGACGTACGTGTTTACATTTACACCCTAATTCTAAATACTCATTAGCAATTAATCAATCATTGCCACTCTCTATCAACATACATTTGCTAATCTGGAAAAGCACCAGAAATTCTGGTTCTAGTCATTTTTTGCAAACTTTTCCTTGCGAATGCAACATTTAACTGACACCGATAAATGATACATGTAGGCAGCCTATGTCCAGTTCTCGTCATATTTCTTTTCGCTTCGGTCAGCACTTACGTATTCTATGTTGTATCCTAACCGCGCCAATAGCGATATCTTTTGTATGGTTCAAAGATTAACTCTAATTTCTACCAACTTTATTTCATACCATCTGTTGCGAGTTATTTAGCTATTATTTCACTAACAACAGGTATGACATTTTGTTTGTTCTTTTTGGTGAAGTGATCTCTTTAATTTATTCCCAGTATTTCACTTTTGCAATGGTTTTATTACGCGAACATTCGTTTAAATATATTCATGCAGGAACTCACCAGCGGAAATGTTTGAGTCCTCAGGGACTTTCGCTACACCTTGTTTAGCTTTCTTGGGTCCAGCAGTTGGTATTGCTGTAATAAAAGCAATTTTCGCGGATACACTTGCAGTCAATTCTATATATAACAACATGTGTAAGCATTCAAATTTGTAGTCCAAATTTATTCTAAACCTGAAGTATGTAGCTGCAACGGCTGTGAAGTAAACGAGCCATACATAAGGCAAAACCGTGTTTCAGCTCATTTCTGGATGACGGCATTTCGTTTCGTTCTGGGTATTTTCACTACGTTCCTTCTATACGAATTAACCCCTACGCTCGTACCGTGTTTTATATAATTGGGTAGCGTCACAGGTTGTATTAGTTTTGAGAGCTGTTGCGACAAAGGTTGTTTATATTCGAGGAGCACTGTACCAACATCTAAGTAACAGAGATGCTTTAGATTTCGTTGCTGGCACATTGACTTCCAACATGTTTTTTCTTCGTAAGAAAACCAATTAGGCTTATCATCAACGACGCGACGCATACACCTACCCCAAGTAACGACCCTTATGCATTTGTAGCTAACCTACTTGCAACGAGGAAACCAAACTTGTGCCATGGTAACGAAGTTAGCCTTAACGTGTACAAATTGCGTTAGCGGGATTTATTCAAACGGCGTTACATCCTGATAATAAAAAAGAAAGCGGTATCATGCGCGGGTCTTAATTCGGTTCTGTTCTTAGTGATCGGAGGTTGCACTTTTAAAGTGCGTACTAGCATTTGCACGGAGGCACGATAAACAGTCGCCGAAACTGAACACCGTTTAAGCGCAAAACGTACTCCGTTTGAGACGGCAAATTAACAGTTTGCACTGAGGCATAAATGGCTAACCCGAGCCGGAGAAAATGTGCCAGACCATAGCACCGCCAAGCATCATTGGAAATCTTGGACCAGGCAAAAATTCGTTGCACCGGACGATAGAAATACGTCTATCTTCACCGCCTACATCGGTATTACCAAACTTTCACCTTGTCCAAACTAATCCCAAGGACGGTCGCTACCTAAGCACGTATGCGGCCATCGCTGCTCCACATATTTATATAGATACCACGGCAGCCTCTCTGCAGGGCCGCAAAGCCAGTCAAGGAAATGGTACAACTAAAGCGACGTCATTTAAGCTTTCAATAACCGTGCCTTTCACATAAGTAAAGACCTGCCGGAAATATGGTTCCTTGACACTCCTCTGTAACGACACATTTCAGTCCAAGACATCCTCATTAATCGGTAAGAAGCAGGATATTTTATAGCAATGTAACTTCCGACATACTGCTGGCGGAATGCAGACAAAAGCATATGCAATTTACCTGTGGTTCCTTAGAGTAAAAACTAATGAGACAGTACTAGTTACACGATTATTATATAGAGAGTAGCAGGAAGGTCATTCCAGTAGATGGCTTGCCCGATCTAGCGATATCTTGCAACCATTAGCACCATATTTATATCCTGAAAATATGACGTTATGTCCGTGAAGCTCATGGTGCTAAGGACGACACAATTCAAGCAACTACAAGTATACCCGTGTCGCCACATTATAAAAGCAGTGACAAAAGTATACTGCAAACTTCAGTGTGGTGACAACGGCTGACCGTGAAAGTAAACAGCAGGTAACAGACATCACACAACAAAATTCCCTCGGACCAAAGACAGCAGACAGCAGATAGAAAACCTCCTCCACTAGAAAATCATCTAGAATTCAATTAGATTCATTTGTTTTATTATTCAGCATCATCCACAGTTGCTATATTTCCAAAGTCAAGAGCTTTTTAGACAAATGTTACCATCCTGGATTAAACTATTGCTGACGTTTTACTGCAAGGCATTAAGAAACGCAGTTTGTTCATGGATCAAATACCTGTGATCTCATGGTTATAACATGGTCATGGCTAAGCCCCAAACAAAGTAACATCAATATCGCACTGGCAGACATGTCCAGTGTTCTACAGGATCTACTCAGCAAAGATAGTGAATTGGCTGTGCAATTCCTTAGTGACGTCAAGTACAAGCCGGTTGCTGTTCCGGACATCATGGCTGAGTATTCGCCTAGGCGCTGTATTCGTATTATACATGACGAGGGATAAACTTGAATAAAATCTTTATTAATATAACTGGACATTTCATAATTTACGCACTGGGAATTTAAGGCGCAACCACAAGAGTCTGTATATGTTCACGTAAGCACTCCATCCGGATTGCGAGAAACATTTTAATTGTCAATATTGGATCCGATATTCATTAACGTATAACTGTGGGCCAAATATGTACCCTAGGTCATCCCTTTTTGCCGCAGAAAGCACGTAGTCCTACGTATCTAATACAATTGTTATGCAGAATATCGGGTAGATACTGCCGATGCAACACGAAAGATTAAGCGCTACGACATATTAGCTCGAATAGGTGATGCAACCAAATGGATTCCTTTTGCAGAAAACGCACCGGTTATCGTATGGGAATATTTCGTCAGGCTGTTAAACATGCGTTTGTTGATTCATCTATGACTTGGAATTTTTACCCAAGAAACGTACTCTTGTTTCTGTGTAGCAGGACGCACTAGTGTATAGAGGTTCAAAATTCAGTCAGGCAAGTCTACATTTCTCTCTGAGCTCCGATACATAAATTGACTGATCGTCCCAACGTATCTTTTTCACTCAGCTCGTTCGCGGGAAAACGTGTCGCAGCAGCGTATAATTACAATGGCTATGCCACAAACATAATTTCCCTAACAAAGATCAAAAACATTCTAAGTAAGCCAAAAAGACTTATTCCTCCTCATTCAACGTCGGACCGACCGACGCAAACCCTGAAGGATGTGGCTAATGCACTGGGCCTGTATTACGCTGCAACTTGTGCATTGGAACTAAGCCATTACATTTAAAAACAACAGCAGTACATCAGCCATTTGAACTGATACTTCACTGCCATACAACCATGATGACCTATGAAATAAAGAATCAGAAGAGGAACAGAAGGGGAAAGTAACCTGAAAACCGTAATAATCTAAGCAAATATTTTAGGGTTAAGGTGCTTACACTTTGTTTAAACAACATACCGTCGCAAACATTAGGATATCATAGAAAGAAAAGACGGCATCGGCAAGACAACTTCTTTGCGGTTTTCACTGCCTCGCGTCATAATCAATCATTACCCAGCAGATAACTGAGCAGCGAAAACACTGTAAACGGTCAAACTGATTAGAAGACGGCAGCGGACGCGCCTTTAGTGCCGGTTACCAGCCATGACTTGTAAAGTCGCAAATCATGCATTAGGTGAATCAAGTTGACTCCATCCCGGAAAACGAGTCGGACCAACTGTACACACTTTGGTCGTCGATGACATCATTTCCCGCCGCCAGGTCAACTTCTGTCCACTTTGAGCCTTCCGCCACCTTCACCTCGCAGAATAAACAAGGTCCTCCTAGGTAAACGGTGACCAGGCGTACATAGCACGTGTCCGAGCCAACACAACTTATTCAATGCTATCTTATGTTCTAGAGCGGTAGCATGATTATTACCGCCTAGTACTCGCATAAGTGCATCATTGTTGCGGACAAGCTTGTGCCATCCGACACCAGCAATGCGTCGCAGACAACGATGGTTTAAGACTTGAAGGCGCCCCATATCTTCCGGCCAAAATAGTTAAGTCTCACTACCATATGGCAGAACAGCCCTCACTGTGGTCTTGTATACACTGAATTTCAGATGAAGGGAAAGGACGTTCTGTCGCCAAAGGTGCCGCATGATCAAGAAGGAAGCTCTAGCCTTTGCAGTGCGAAAGCTGTCGTTAGTTTCTCTGCGCTCATCGTTGCTGATGCAGCTGCCAAGATAAGTTAATTGTTCATCCACCTCGAATTTCTTGTTAGCAAGGGTCAATGGGTCATAAAGTGGTTGGTGATCATGCAGCAACACTTTGCACCTTGAAAGTGCAAAGCACATACCAAATAAGGGACCATTTTAGACAGGCTACACAGGGTTGTATTTGCTGCCGCAATATCGTCGAAATGCGAAACGATTTCGTCCGCATAATCAAGCTCAACTTATCTCTCACTGGGCAGCACATTAACGCCTTAATCGGGTGATCCCGCAAGTGAAAACTCCATGATAATATTCACGACAAAGTGAACAAAAATGGAGAAATCGGACAACCCTGACGAACGTCAGTTGTGGTCCGAAAGCTATCCGATTGGCCACCGTAGAACCTGACGCGGCCTGAGGGGTTGGAGTACAGAGCACGGAGGATGTTCCCATATGTTGTGGAACATCTTTCCGAACGAAATCTATCGATCAACTGATTCGAACGCACTCTGGAACTCGAGAAATATCGTTGTTGACGGTCTGCGTTTTGCGTGGCGCTGTTCTAGCACATGCCGCAAATTGAATATATCGTATATACGGCCACGTCCTGAGATAAAATCTGTCTGCTGTTTCCTACTCTAAGATGCCCGTTCAACAGTGAAACGACGAACAAGAATCCAAGCAGGTAAGTTTGTCACAACTGGCATTAGGCTAATCTCCCTGTGGCAAGAATAGTCTGTGCGACTTCCCCTTTTATAGATTGCCACTATAATCTATTCGCCCTAATCAGCCAAGACACTATCTTCCTTCCAGCTGCGTTTGAATAGGGAGGTCAGTGCTTTGCAGAGGACCTCACCTCCATCTTTAAACAGTGCAGGTGAGAGGAAATCCGGACCATCGGCACGAAAACCATTGACAGCTGTGATTGCGTTTTGGAACTCGGCCTCCGACGGAAGTTCTAAACTAACCGTCCATGGCTCGTTCTCTATTATCTGTGTAGGATGAGGTCCTGGAGCAGGGGACCAGCCGAACTGATCTTGAATGTGTTCAGCCAAACGCGCCAAACAGCGCCGATATTTGGATTGTTGCACCAGCGCTGTCTCTGATCTTCTCATTGACCCTTGGTTTTCTCAAAAATGTTTTGGTTCAGATGGAACAACTTGCAGTAAATGCCTACTGCTCCTACGTCCTTTATTTTTGACCCCTACTGGTCCACCAGGCTTCGTTGTCAGCAGGTCTGCTCCGTTTCAGTTCGCACATAGTAGCCCTTTATGTCAAAATGAGGTCAGTGCTAACCGGTAGGTTTATTCTAGATTCCAAAAGGTTCACCGATCTCTCGGATATCCGGTGCCTTGTGCGGTGACGACGGATAATGCCACAAGCAGTTGTTCCTGCGTCATGCATCTAGGCAGAGATCCTATTCCACTGAAGCTCAGTGTCAATAGAACAAGACAGCTTGGTATGCAGTGCGAGTTTTTGGCTTGCCTGACCGAGAGCTGAGGCTTTTCCCCTTTGCTAATTGGAGGGGATGCATGGTGCACCTCCCGTGAAAGTTCATGGTGAACCGATAACGTATCAAGGCATGATATGAGTCGACGCAGATATTCAAGTAAGAGCTGCAACCAAGGATGGAAATACCTCATCTGTAACTTATGGCTATATGGTAAGTTTGAGTCTATCGTTGACCAGCTACCGGAGGAAGCCAAGTGGCACTTCGGCGCCCGCTCTGTGTAAAAGCCATGCTACTAAGAAACAAGTGGTGTGCCGCACACAGTTGTAGCAGACGCTCAACGTTGTCAGTCCGTTCGGAGTTAAGTCCACAATTACCACCCAGCTGAGCTACTCAAGAGCTCGGACGCTCTAATTGTGCGTCCATATCCCCTTCAAATAGTACGATATCGAACTAGTTTCGTTGCGTATGTGCGCGTTTAGTTCGTGATAGAATGTGACCCTGATAGCATTGTAACTGCAGTCGGCGGAAGCATATACGACCCACCAATATGACAAAGGTTGTCTTATATCCCCTATGCTTCACGGCCATAGCTGTACCAAACGACAGGCGGAGTGTGGGTAAGCACAGCTTTCTTGTTGTTGAAAAAATACATGCAAAGTTGTTAGTAGCAGAGGACGAGAGCTTAGCTGGGCGTTGGTTTCAAATCTTTCAAAAGTGTTTTGATGAAATCTGCGTGCTCGAAGTTAGCTGTAAAGTGGTAGCGAACCACATATGCAAATATATCTTTATTTAATCATACTCACTCGCACTTCGATGGATTCACCAGGCACATCAACATCGAACCTAAATTTTACGTGAAATCACGAGCGCAATCGGCGTAGAAGCGGAGGTAAAGTGCTCATGTGTCATGTCGTCAAATCTGTCAAGATAATAATTTCATGTACCCGACTGCCATAAATATTTCCATCCTGCATGCGCAAATCTACGTCAAGTGTCTTTAGGCTACTCAACGTTAAGCTGAACACCCATGGGTGTTCATAAGCTACATAGTCAGATTTTTGAGTTATTCAACCAAAGCAAATGGCAATATTCTCTCTGTTATTAAACAATTCACGATGAAAGATAATGTTGTAGCATGATAAACCATATGGACAGCTGATTAAAACAGTTACTATGGAAAGCAACATAATTTAATAAGCTATTTGAGACGCGTAATGACATTCGGTCAAGGTACAATGAAGGAGCTACATGCATTACTTAACCAAACAATCACACACTGAATGAAATAGATAAGGAAGCCAGTAACTTGCATTGTATCCTTTAGCACACACCCATATGGATTACAGTTGATTCGGTACAATGCACATAACGGAATATCTGTCCATCAAGCATAACAATGCAACGCTGTTCGCAGCAATTATTCTCGCTTCGATTGCATTAGTCCGCAAAAGCCATATGGCTAACATTCATGAACAAACGGATGCGAGACAGCAAATAACATGAAGGCGGCATTATTTGACGTTTTATTGAGGCTAGATATGGAATTTTAAATGGTTAGTTTCATAGCCGTTGTACAGGTCCGTTGTTTATCTACTCCGGGTATTGTTCATCTAGAAGCATCAAATCTGAGAATGATCCAACTTCCCTGACACAACTGCGTCGCTATCTTTGTTGCGTTCAATCTACTTCAACCGGACGATTGGCATCTTCTAATTGCACATTCTACGATGCGAGACAACTTTACTGTAAACAATAAATTACCGTTTCCATGAGTCTTCGATGCCGATAAAGCCTTATTACGTTTCATTTACTGGAATTTTACCGGTGGACTCAACATTACTCATCAGTATTGCGGGCAGTTGTTTGTTCGTGTGATACTGATTAATAAGGCTAAAGAGCGAAGAGAAAAATATGTGTTGTGAACCGTAGTTAGATAGGGTACCTGCGCTGAATCAGGTGGCAGTATATTGCAGCCGCACAAAATATTATCCAGGTGCAATACGCACTCTCATACCAGCAGTCGGCCAAATAGACGCCAAAGTATCTGCTAAATACGGACAGTGTTTCTGGAAAGATTTTGCACTTGAAAATTCACCTATTGTTGTCCTTTAAATCTCATATATTTCTCCATTCGCATTGATACTATAAAACCAAATCGTATATATCGATGTACATACAACTAATTGTGAATTAAATTCATTTGAGTATTGTGAGGAGCAAGCTATTCGCACAGTTTATATACAAAAGAACTTAAAAGAAGCACTGTTGAATTGGTTACTGCGTCATTCCTCTTTTTGGCTTCCAAAACGCCAAACTCGTTTAGGGACAACGAGCAGAGGCATATTCTTTGACATTGAATGTAACTATGTATTCGCGTTTACCTTTATTGGATGCCATCAAAAGTTACACGAGTCCACTTCTCGGAATATCCTCAGACCCGGTTTGCCTCTATATTAACATACCACAATAACTGAAAATCGGGATGTGCTTATAAAGCAGATCACACTCACGAAAGTGGAACGAGGCAGAATGAGTGATATCGAATTGAACATTATGTAATTCGTGGATTACCCATAGTGCGCAATTACTGAGCACGTTTACGAATAATATTATCAAAACACGGGCGCCCAATTATTATCTGGAAAAGAAACTATGTAGGCGTCACAAACATTTCATTTTTCAGAATGCAACACTTTATAAACCATGTCCAGCAATTCATGACCAATCTAAAAGATAAACGAATAAACTACGATGGAGCGTTTGTGTCCTTCATCATAAACACATTATCTGCATCCGTCAAATTACAGCTAGCAAAATAGAATTTCGTAGTAGGGCAGTGGATAGAAGCTCGGAAACATGACGATCAGAAGCGCATGCGAAATTCTCCACTGATCTCTCACAATTTATATTCATTCAGCATAAAATTTTCTAAACATGTGTAAGGGGATAACTGCTTCGTTCTTGCGTATGGATTGTGGAGATGGTCATCCAATTAGTGTACAAAATGGAGTAGGATAATTAAAATACCTCATTTCCTGGTTGTGTTTTAACCAGCACAACACATGGGTAAGTTTAAAATGCAGCTTAAATGAAAAGCACATCCATCAGACTCTGAGTATCTTCAGCAATAATCCTGGATGTCACAAAATATATACTTTACAGATAAATTTAGATAGAATAACAAGCCAAGAGAGACGATGGCTTTGAAACCAGAATAACAGTGCACTTGTTTAATTCATTCAAACCCAACAGATGCACAGGCGGTTTCCTCCGAATGGGCTTTTGCACCAAACCCAATGAAAACTAACTTACCTCAGACACAACCAAATATATACTACTAACTTATATAAAGCAAATATCTATAATGTATGTCAGATTTTTCAAACAACCCTCCATTCAAAACTATTAATTCCAGTCTCGCGTTATTTGGCATTCGCATACCAAACCTATGAACCTGTGATCCTCTATCTGTCTCTAATGCTTAGCATTTGAAAACATAATAGAGCTAGATTCCTTTTCAACCAATCTGTCCCAATGTGTGCCATCATTGGGCGTTCCGCATTGGGCGCTTCACAAAATTTCCATGTGACAATTTTATCTTGCAAACGCAAAAACCAACTGACACGGACAAATGATACTTTGGACAGCCGATGACCATGAATCCTCATATCTGTTTTTCGCTTCGGTCAGCACTTAATTAACCTATGTTTTATCCTAACCGCGCCCATAGCGTTATCTATATAATGATTCAACGATTATCCCCTATTTCCAACTACTTTAAATCCGGCCATCTGTCGAGGGTTCTAGAGCTGTTATTTTATTAACAACAGAAAATACATTGTGTTTGTCTTTTGGATGCAGTGATCTCTTCAATTTAATACGCAATTTTTCCATTTTTCATTGTTTTTTCACACAAAACTTTGTTTAAATATCGGTGTGCAGGAACTCACCAACGGGAAACGTTGAGGCCTCAGTGGCTTTTGCTCCACCTTCTGTATCCTTTTTAGGTCCGGCTGTTGGTACTGCTGGAATAAAATCAATTTTCACGGATACACTTGCAGACAATTCTATGTATAACAATACGTGTAATATTTTATCTTTGTAGGTCAATTTTTTACTAACTCTGTATTGTGTGGCTACAACAACGGTGAAGTAAACGGGCCATATATAATGCAAATGCTATAGTTCAGCTCATCTCTTGATGGCAGCATTTTGTTGCGTTCTGTTGCTTATTCTTTAAGTTCCTCCCTAACGAATGAATCCTTATGTATTTACCTTGATTTATTCCACGGAATTTCGTCACATGACCTTTCCTCCTCTAAGATTAGCTATTGCGACAAACGTCGCGTTTTATTCGTGTTGCTCTGTACCAACATCCTTAGGTATCAGATATGCTTTAGGTTCGTTGCTGGCATACTGACAGCCAACAGGGATTTTTCTTCTTAAGAATACCAAGTAGGCATTCCATTTGTGATCCACCAATAAGGTTACCGTTTTACATGTTGCTTTTCCATATGTGTAGATGACATTGCCGTTCACGATTTTCAGCACTGTTCCGTGCTTTTCGTTTTCCATACACGAACTAATGCACTCAACATTCACGAGCGGGTTGTTCTGAGAAGGTTTGACATGTTTCACTGCGATATTTACACATTCACATTTCGGAATGCAAAATATTCGCGCAGCTCCCGGGATTTTACCAATAATTCACTCAATATGCTCTTGGAACTGAGCAGTTGTGGCACTCTTGAACATTCTGTTATCTGATCTCATGAGAGAGTTGCTCCATTCCTAGAGTTAATTTACTGTTTATAAGTTGTAGTTAGCCAGTCATCAATGGGTTTCCAACTTGGAAATGCACCATAATTTTCTAATTTACGTTCGTAAATCTTTTATTTTATCCATTTTGCTTTTTCTCATTCCATCCACACGGTATCACCAATTCTGCCATGCAAAATTGATGTTCATTTCTCTCCTTAAATTTGCTGCGCCCTGCTAAATATTATCGTTTTTCTCCCGAAAAACAAAACCACTACCCCTCGCAATTCATAATAAGCTGTGAAGTCCGCTTTCCATATCCTATCCTTCGCAAATCGATTGCTTGGATTTGTTGTAACAATCTCAATTAGTTTATAGAGCCAGCCTTTCCTTGTTTTTATCGTTTTGCATTCTTATCCGTAATTACAGCTTGAAACAGAACTTGTAGAATAAATACCACTAACTAGGCAGAATTTGTATTCTGCCTCATTCTAAAGTGTTTCTCAACGTTTGACTACCACTGGGCTGAGCTATTTGATTGACGGAAGGAAGCCACTGAATTATTTAATACACATGCAACATGTGGCGAAATGTCACATAAATACTGACGAAAAACGATATGCATACTCAAGGCAAACCGACACATGCACTTTGATTGAAAGTCTGTCAAACTTAAAGGAGCCAAAGTCGAAATGTTTGAAATTGTCTAAAAGAATATAAAATTGGTAAGCAGCGAGGTATCTTTCTTTAGCGAGCGTATTACTCATTGTATATAGCTAAAGCTATAAAACGTAATCAGTATGCTGAGGGCTCGTGTGCTGTCAGGTCAAACGGAAACAAAATTTAACTGTTACGTAAAAGTGCGGATAAAACCATTAAAGGATTATCCTGCATGGAAGCAAAACAAAACTGGTGGGTTCCACTAAGAGCATTGTAAAGTATAAAATGCTATTCCCAAAAACTTCGCTTGTCCTGCTTTCAAACCATAAATCTTTCCACGATTTTGGCTAATTGAACTATCCATAAAGCTTAATTGAAATTGTTTTTGAAAATACGATTTGACGTCTGAAATTTGAGATCATATTTTGCTACATGATCCGTCCAGTTAGTTGAAATTTCACAAGCACCGTCAAGATATAAACATTAAACTATGTATGGACGACAAAGCAGCAGCATCACTGATTTATGTAAAATTCGCAAACATCCCGTTGGTTAGGACAATATTTTGTCATATTATAATAGGCAGTTCTTGCCGAATGTTCCCAGCTCTTGGCAAAGTTGCTGCTCTCGTCAGTGTAGAGAAGTTCAGCAAGATTGATTACTTCTACCTACTAAGTAAACTACAAGATAAGTAAATGTAACACATAAATTCCCTGTGATATTTGAATAGATGCAAATACAAGCAACTAACTATTTGGCCAGTATCATAAAATTTCCAACTGCGCCAGCCGTTGACACTCCCAAGCATTTGTTACACGTCTATTAAAGCAATTTAATTTAGCCAAGCTTCACCATAAATTAGCTTTTGTAATCACCAACGATAAACCGTTGGATAACATTGCAACATACGGATTTGCTTTTAATTAACAATTGTTATCACATACTTGTTTCGTCCGCACCGAAGTATTGGTTTTACATTGATCTTGCAGATATTTGACCAAACCAAACAAAAGTTGATGCCAATATCTTCAACACAATTCTCGCGCGATCCAACAGGTCACATATTAGATTGGACACCAACGCAGCGCTGTTAAATTCGCCGGAGCTTCCAAGCAGCTCCAGTGTTTTAATTCAAAAAAAAGTCCCACTGATTAACGCACCCTGGTCTCAGTAATTATATTAGTACAGCGGTTGAGATCATTTACATAGAATTCCATAGAGCGTTTGATCGCTTATACCAAGGAATTCTGCTCCAGAAACTTCAGCGATATTGCCCTGTTATATTACTGTTGCGTTCGATGGGCATTCGCCTACACGAACATAAATTGGAAAAGTAAAAAGCGAAAATCAATCTCCGATGCAATTTAGATGAATTGCGGCGTACCACTTGGCTCGGTGATGGCGCCCCGTTTATTCTTGATTTTCTTCAACGATTTGTAGAGGGATATTCTTTGGATTTCCTATACATCGTTCAATACATGGCGGGCGAACAAACGTATGATCACGAAATCCTCCAGCGTGACGTCAACACGATTTCCAAATGGTCAGTTCTGAATTCACTACCCTTCATTGTGGAAAAATTACATGCTCTTCAGTTGCGCCATATGCAAGACTAGATGCATAATCTTGAGTCACATTTATTGCAAACAGCTTTCCAAGAACGTTGCATTGGTGTGCACATGTAAATTGACCTTACCTTACAAAGTAGTCAGAGGCAGCTGCGAAGAGTAACAACAAGCACGTCGGCTTGTTGCGGAGAACATTGGGAAGATTCGACCCATCCATCTTCCCCATGATGCACCATTCTTACGTGCGTCTTCACGTTGAATACACCATCCATGCTTACTAACCCCGGTTTTTAAGGCGTCCTAAAATTGCTTGAGTAAATGCAGCGTAGAGCCAAAATGTACGCCATAGAGCAACACAATTTTCTCAGCACTGTAGTAGGAAGTCGCTTAGAGTTTTCAGTTACCGCTACTGGAGGCTGCGCGGCGATCTCATATGAATCTACTAAATATCGAGTTACCCTAATCACGCATGATGTCCCTTGCAGATAATCAGCCACTAGACCAATCTCAGAGGTTAAAGACTGAAAATGTGTGCACAGTGTAGCCGCCTGGAATGCCGGTGGAATAATTTATCCTTTTGAGTTTGCTAACCCTAAAACTATCACCCAAAATTCGTTGTTATCTCCCCCCATTGGATATTTTAAAACATGTTTAATGTTGCACTTCTTTGCCTAAACTTTGCAACTTTGGATTTCATTATCCTAAACACCGCATTAGCATGTTGCATGAACATGAAGATAGGGAATGCTACTGAGTATCTACGATTTTCATTTTCCACGAAATAAAACTAATAGTAATGTCGTCATTTTGTCTTGTTCTTCGCATTTAATTCAAACAAAAAGATTATTCAGCAGCGAAATCGTTAGATAAATGCTGAAACATACAACTCATCTCTTTGATACTTATAGGTTGCCCCATTCATCATGAGGGACTTCACAAGCAAATGCAGTTCTACCAGTCAGAAATCATGTTTTATTGTTCTTGGTTAATTTTTTTATTTTTCTCCTTAATTTGAACCGAACCACAGATATCACCAGATGTCTTCCGCGTAAAGCGAAAACTATCGAATATGGCAAACATGATTCTTATCACCACAATTATACACATGCGATTATGCTTCTTATCTTAGGCCGCGACAAAAGCGATGTAATGTTTTCATCATAAAACTCAATTTTTCTTTCTTTGACTGTCCGGCGGATCTTGCTAGCTACCTGCAGTATTATAAGTAAAACCTTATTCTCCCAAACTTTCACAGCTGTCTAAAAGTACAGATGGATTTTGGATTCACTGTAGCACAAAATAAGGCAACAAAGTAATCAGTTCCATAATGCAAATGTTTTTGGATTTCCGTAAATGGCGAACAGTGTCGGTAAAATGTTTGCGCACTCTTGCCTAAATGAAAGCATTCAATACACGCCTACGCATCTTTTCTTCCAACCGCATGCAGAACGACGCGGTATTATACAACGTACGACCTCGGTTTTATGATAGCCTCAACTGGGTTACGTGTCAGACGCTTTCCATTGGCCTGCCGAAAGCGTGTCCTCAAGGTGGCCAATGCTAGAAGCAACAGATATTTACAGACTACAGTTTATTCTTGCGACACGATAACCAATTTCATAATATCAGTTATGACTACTTGAGCCGGTTAAATCTATTCAATTGACACTTCAACGATTATTTCGCCATCTTTTTCATCAGTAGGACAACGCGGCTGGTCAGAATGGCTTGACCATATTTGACATACAGGATCCTGTTATATATTTTGAAGATGTGACAGATAATGGCTTTTCTCCTTGCAGGAGAAATTACGTAAATCTGTCAACTGAATTATGATAGAAGTTGTGAGCAGTCTACGTTTTCCACTAGCAAAGCATATTTAAACATCAGTTTAACTACCTTAAGTCCAGCTGCTTTAGCAGAGTACAGTAGTGTGGGCACCTAAGCAACTACCTTACCACCACAGCAAATTGCTCTATATATAAACGCAGGGGTATATTGGAAAGATTGGACGTTAATTAAAACGGACCCAGTCACAG